TGTCACGATCACGTGGTGTTCCGTTTAATCTATCCATATCCACGGCGAACCGACAGTAACTACAGGATTCGGGATACAACTGAAACTTCCCCTGCCAAAAATGTGCAACCACTCGCGACGTTTAATTCGCACGAAATATTTTCATCGCATCCTCGATATGCCGAGTGATACGAGTTGGTTACTTGTAATCGCGAACTTGTGTAGCGCGTCAGCGGGTAAAGGGTCGAGCGTAGAAGTAAAAAGGAAGATAACGCGAGGCGAAATTGAAATTGAAGTGCGACCCGTATCTTGAAAACACTCTCGAGGAATGGAGATGGCCGAGCGCGGGCAGTCGCGGATAGTCGCGAGCACGACGATAGCGTTCCGTCGAGGCATGTTCGTCGCGATACCAGGGATCGATAATAGCTAGCAGCGTGCCGCACACGCACGTACTCCGCGGATGCACCATCGTGCGCCGGCTCTTCGTGTGTGCGCCCATGAGCACGCGCGTGTATTGGATCGCGTACGTGCCGCTACGTAGGCAGACAATCGAGGAACACAGTGGGCAAGGGGATGAGAGAGGGTCCGACGGCGGCAGAGAAACGAGGAGAGGGAGTCGGAACAAAGTGTACGAGGCTCGTTGCATCGGTTTTACACTCTTCCTCTGTTCTCCCTCTCTCCACGGGCTGTTTTTATAGTTCCTGTCTCGTTCCTTCGTTTCCCGGGTGTTTCGCGACACGATCCGTCGCGTGTTCCGCAGGATCTAGGCCGTTGAAAGTTAATCGTCACGATGACGCGCGACCAACTATTCGAAATATCCGAGCGAGATTAATGCACCGGCCGCCGGCGCGCGACACGTTTCGCTTTTAATATCGGGAAACGGCAATTAACGCGTGCCCCCTCGCGTCCTCCGAAGAGAGCCTATAATGAGATCCGATAATTTTAATGGCTAGACTGCAGATTTTACGCGTGCATAGCGTTTCCGGTGTTCCGGCGACTCGGCGCTGTCGGATATCGACAAATCCGTAACGAGATTATCGTGTCCTTTGAACTGCCTTCGAACACTCGATGGAATGAAAAGATTCCTCTAAATCAATCCACGGAAATTCATATCCGCGCAGCTCTTGTTCGGTGCACTGGAAACGCATTTCCGATTGCTCCCGACCGTGTTCCTTTGAGAATAGTTAACATCTTCGCCTTCGTCCATCGATCTCGAACAATATCACTTATGCAAGAACGTCGTACAGATTACACCGAAACAAAAAGTCTCCGAAGACTTCGGTTAAAATAAAACGCACGGTGTTCCATCATCATTCTAATATATGGTGACCGGTCAAAGGATAATTCTCGAGGAAACGGGGCCTCGTTCGTTCTTCGCCGAGAACAACAGAATTTTTGGCCGCGGGCTGGTAATCACTTATTTAAATTCGCCAGCTCGGACGGTCTCGTATTAACGGGTCGCGGACCGGGCCGGGCCGGTTCGGGCCGCGGCTCTTCCGTTCAGTTTACCGAAATGGATGTTAATTTTCGCCATAAACCCCAAGTAACGATCTGTAATTTCAGGTACGGTGGGCAATGTGCCGCAATTCCAGGTCGGGTCCGTTCGCGCGTGCACCGGAGGTTCCCTCTCGGTCTTTCTACTCCTCCTCTGCCCGTCTGGGGCGGCTGTCCGTTTCCTCCCCCCGCGTTCTCTCTTACCGCGCGTGCTCGTCCCTATTCATCTCGATTATTATAGTCGGAGCGCGCGCGCGCGCGAGCGGCCGGGCGGCCGGCGAACCGGGATTTCATAAAAGCCTCGGCGCAGCGAACGCTAGAGCTGAATTGCTTTCATTATTTCCTTCGCTCCTCCCTCTTTCTCTTCCTCTCCGTCTCTCCTTGTCTCTCTGTCTCTCTCTTTCTGTCCCTTTTTTTATTTTTTTTACCTCGAGCCGTTTCGTTGTTAATTGCCCGGAGCAACAGGTTCATCTATAGGAGACATGCGGAGAGAATTTCCCACCGTGGATCCTAGATCGATCACGATCGAGGTTTATGGTGGATATGATTGAATGCGACCGGGAACGATGGTTCGGTTTTATTGCGTGTTCGGGTTTGATACGTACTCGGGGCGCTTGACAGTTCTAGGCAGACGTTGCCAAACACGTCTCGTGCTTAGCTTTCACTTTGTGCGTGTCAGTTGAGTGATTGGGGGAATAAACGGCGAGTAAGCTTGTTTAAACATTTCGTTGGCGGAGGTGATCGTAGTCAGCCATTCTTAACGTTAAGTGGCGAGCTCGCGTGAATCTCGTGGGATTGATGTAACTCGTTCCACGACAAAAAATTGAGAAGTTGAGGTTTTTCATAGTAATTAATCTGTTAACCCTCTTGCCTCTCGTAATAATTAATAGGTTCCTCGTGGAGTTTTGTCAGGAAATTATGAAAAGGAAGAAAGAAGCGGTTATCCAACGAAATTTTTCTGTCTTATATTGTATAATAACAAACAGGATTTTCGATCGGGAGTGTAATTCACATCGTTCCAATGTTTTCACATATTAGCTTCGAATTCACAGGCGATAATTATTTCTAATTGATTTTGCTTCGAGGAACACGGTTTTTACCGGGATTACCGGGATCGTAGCTCGACGCTATATTTCTCTGTTCACTGCTCGATTGGAATCGGCGAGACGTGGCCCGCTCGACCGAGTGCTGGAAAAGCACGGATAACGAAACCGGTAACTGGAAGTCTATTACGAAAGCCTGGCAACAAATACGTATATAGTTGTGTCGTCGAAGCCCTCGCGTTGACTAGTCGCTTCTTCGAGCGTGATCGAGACCTCGATCCTATCGTTCGGCGTATTTTTCTCGCATGTGCGCATCTGCACCGTCAAGTCTTGTTTCCATTAACCTTTTAATTACCATTAATACGTGTTTATACTCAGAACAATTTTTAAGATTTGTTTATGTTGTTCCTTTAACGAAATCATGTAATCCATTGAAGAAAGTGTACTTTAACCTTTTGAATGTTAAGGAACACGATGAAGATATTTTTTGTCAATATCATTTTTTCAGAATACATTTGTACTGAGTAATATAAAATAGGCGTTTAAAAAGTACTTATTGTTTGTTATACAATATTTGCTTTACATGTTATAATGTGCCCCATTATTAGTACACATCGACGAAAAATATTCAATACTCAAATAGGTAATAAAATTCATAAAAGTGTGTCTGTTTGTAGCGTTACGGTACTTCTCCTTTTCCTGTGACCATTCACAACCCTTTCGCATCGAATTGTTCCGTGCCGAAATGGTTAGCGATCGATTGTTTCGCGCGTAATTAATTTCGTTCGCGGGGGAACCAAACGAACGTGACCCGCGATGCCCCTCCGAAATATGTAGGTCGTTCACGCCGACCTCTGCGGTTTGCGCACCGGTTATGTCTTAATTAATCTCGAAATTGGACGCGTTAAGTGCGTCGATCATCTCTCTTCGAGGGCCCCCTCGTACAGTAAAACACAAACTTGCCGATAAATAACGAGGTTCATCGTGTTCAAGAACATTTCTGTATCATTGCACCACAGCCCGTCCTTGCACTTGGTGAAGTCTAATTGTTTTCTTTTTATTTTTTAAAATTTTTTTTGTTACCGGTACGATTTATGCCCCACGTGTAATAAAGCCGTTGGAATAAATGAATAAATTAAGGTTTGAGAAGATACTTCTGGCGACGATGAAACTGTATCCAGACTTATGTGTTAATTCTCTTAAAATTCAATTATAAATTTAACGAGGCACTTAAATAAGTCTCTAATATTAAATCGGTTAAATTTTTCTGGTTCTTCGCTAGTGCGAGGGACGAGATAATTTGAACGTAGCGGAGGATGTTTCATTTTATTACAGTCGAACGGGAACCTGTTTGAATGATTATTCAATTTATGAATCATCGCGAATTCCAAACGAACGTCGCAAATCGAGGATTTCGAAAAATGCAAAGGACGTAATAAATTATCCGCGGATAATAAAATTGTAGCGCGGGAGCGTCGGTTAGTGCGGTCCGCTTTATTATTATAGACCCTTTACTGACGATACCTCGGTGGATTAATCTGCGTATTTAATTTCGACTTTCTACGCGTGCAACCGTAATATCCGTGAAATCTGCTAATACCGACACATAGCATTATTTAAATTCCGACAGAACTTGAATTATGTGCACAGAATATATACTCGAGATGGTTAACATTTTACCGCGATTTAAAATACGGCAAATCGTGGATGAAACAACGGGAGACAAGCAAAAAGATTAATTCGTTTCTTCGCTGATCGATTCTGTTGCGTTTTGTTTACACGATTGTCCAGTCCACGCGTAGCAATTAATTCTTCAACAGTGTATATCTCTGTGTGCATTTCTCTCGTTGAATTACACAGACCTCGATCCAAATCGCATTAAAGATTTGTCCCGTTATCTGTTCCATTTTCGTTCGCGAACCTCTCTCTCTCTCTCTCTCTCTCCCTCTCTTCCTGTTTCTATCTGTACGTTATTTGAGTCGATCTCCGAGAGGTAGAAACTCACCGAAACCGATAATCAGTTCGACGGAGACTATTCCAAGTTCCGCCGATTACAAGCGTGAGAGCTCGTCCCGCCGCGTTACGTGCACTGCTTCGCTCGAAAACTCGCCAACTCGCCAACTCCGCTGTAGCGACAACGAAAACATTGAGAGTTTTTCTCCAACACGATGAACTTTCTCCTCGGCAATCAATTTGCACGGCGGATCCGCTAATAAGTAGAAATACTGATTCGTTTCATTTCCATCCGCGAAACAGATACGGAAAGTGCTTGAACGCTCCGTTCTTTTATCAAAAGTTTGTTGAAACAGATAATAGACGATTTAATGAGGAGCAATATATTGTTTGACGAATTACTGTAACCTATTCTAACTCACATTGTTTCGAGTAGAATTTATATGGAAAAAATGCGTCTCGTGTTATCAAAAATCATTTAGCGATAGTGTTTTATATAAACTTATAAAAATTCTTGATTTCTCGTTGCAGATGAAAGGCCGAGACCTGTCCCATTCTGGAATATTACTGTGTTACCAAGTGTTAGCAGCAGCGCTACAACGAAACAGCGTTAAATGAGGTAAGAGTCTTACCGCGTTTCGAATCTCATCAGCATTGTACCTCCTTTCTGTTCACGGTCCTCTTAAAATCTCTTCTCGAAGAAACTGACGCGGCAGAAAGTTACATCTTCCAGTTACTTAAATGCGCAGATTGTAGTTACCTATACCTGTTGCTCGAATGCAACTGTCAGAAGTATATAATAATTCAGTACCCGAAGGAAAAGTATGAAGAATTTGAAAGAAATCAAATCCTTATAAAGGATTGCAATTTCGAGACAGCAATGTGCAATATTTCATTCCTATAATTACATTTTTCCAATTTTATTATAATCTCATTGGCAGCCACGCCGTATCATGGCCTCTGCCAACGGTAGCCAACTCTTGCATCAGTTTTCAATTCCGGAACAAGGCACAGACCAACGAAACCATAGCAGTGTCGTGCCCGCCGCGCTCTATAATCGCGTTACCGATCCCCAGCGACACGATTATATAGATAGAACACCCGCTAAGTTCAACATGCACCGTCAAGGATACGAGTAACGTAACAGCGGCGATCATTCTCCTCCGACGAACCGGTGAATCGCTTTTCCTCAACCAAAACGGTCCAAATGATGCCTACATTTCATTATGTGTTATGTTAGTTTCACCCTTTCGTTATTAAGAGCGACTATAGTCACTTACCACTGCGAGATTGCCGCTCGCATCATAAAGAGGAATTCAAGAGCTAATAACGAGATAAAATTAAGCCCCCCGCCAATTCCTAATTAGTGGACTGCGGATTTTATGTTTTTGTGGGATATTCATATATGCAGTGCAATAAAAAAAGTAAATGCCGTAATGAATATGTTATGAGGTAGTTAGTAAATATTCGACTTCTGGGAACCTCCGATAGCAAGCACATTCCTCTTTACAAAGCTGTACAGGAAAATCTATATTTGCATAATAATATATTATCACTATACCATAAAAATACATGATCACAAGTTTCTGTGATTGACAAAACCGTCGACCCACAAAATCTAGTGATTCGCATAACACGACAAAGTGCAGCAGATGTTGCACTACGTTCGCAGCAAAGTGCGGACTCGCTTCAGTCGACCTGTCCCGTGGAGCATCGGGTGCTCTGTCGAGCAAGTCCGCCGGAACGAAAGGGTTTAAAGCGAGCGGAGCCGGAAACGGTGGTCGGGAAGCGCGTCGAAACAGCATTCGGCACGAAAAAACCGGAATAATGGAGGTGTTTCGCGTGACATTGCCCGTGATCGGACTAGTCCGCCACCATAATCGAGGAAATTAAATCGTAATTAGCCCCGGGGCCCGATCCTGAAATCGTCCGACCGGATTTTCGCGTCGCAATCGGCAACGATGGAAAATGAATTGCCTCAATTTGTCCGATTGAAACTATCCGGAGACTATGTCCGGAATTCCTATTAACCTTTCTCCGATCTCCGCTTTTCCCGCGTCCCCTCTGAACGACTGGGAGCGTGCCGGCCACGCTCTACCTCTCTCGTCCGTTTCCACGGAGTTCGATGTGTATCCCCACGCGTCCATCCCTGCCGAGAGAACCAGTTCGGGGCTCTACGCAGTGCGATATTTCATTTGAAACGCTGAGAGGGAGAGAATCCTTAGACCGATCCTTTAGGGTCCTCCTGCGTCCCCTTCGTTACTTGCATTTGTACACGTCGCTTTTACTTCTGCCCCTGGTTTTCTCTTTTTTTCTGTTTTTCTTCTTCTTTTTCTTCTTCTTCATCTTCTTCATCTTCTTCATCTTCTTCATCTTCTTCTTCTTCTTCCCCTTCTTCTTCTTCTTCTTCTTTTTCTTCTTCTTCTTCTTCTTCTATTTCTGATTCTTTCTTTTCTCTCCCTTCCAGCGTTACTATCACCACCACCACCCTTTCTCCGCTACGACCCCACGGAACGCCGGTCATTTTTTAACTGGCAACACGCTGCCACGCTGATATTTCCTTCCGGGAGGAGAATTAGGCTTGCCAGCTGATTTATGCGTTACGCCTTCGGTCGAGATGATATCGTGATTAAACGCGAGCACACGGATTGAGAAATCGTTTCTTCGTGGGTGTTAACGTGATCCCTGAGCGAAACTAGTCGCCCGTTGAGGTGATCATTTTTCATCTCGGGTTACCATCAGTGAACGGAAGTTTCATCGGCAACAGAGATTTTAATCGAAGGTAGACGCCAATTCGAACGATAGATTTAACATAGCTACCAGTATCTTCAGGATAGGGTGGTTTTAGGCGTCGCCTATTCTGACGAATGACGGCGTTTACAGTAATTGCTACCGGTTGGGGATCATTTGGTACCCTTTGGCCTTGGAATATCGGGATATAGAAATTTCGAACGAGAGCTCATTAATACGCAAATCAGTCGCCTTTTCTAAAATCAGAATAATATATTATTTTCTTGGTGCCAATGCGTAATCTTCGCAACTAATACGATCTTTCATCGAATATGGGTTTGGTTTTTCTTTCGGAAATAAGCTTAATCTCCCGAACATGGTTCCTTTACAGAGTTAACAACGTTACAGTCACGTCAACCGACGTTGACAAGCAGGATCACGCGCGCGTGACAGAGACCGTTCAAGTTATCGAGCAAAAACTAGATCAAAATGATGTTGCTCCGTGACCCGAATGCGAGTAAATTATCGCAGAGGAGAATTATTAGTTTACCTTCAGGATCGGTTCATCGTGTTCGACAAGATCGAGAGCGCGGTTACAATGTTGCAGACCATTTATAACGATGGACGTCAACGATGTATAACGTATTAATCGTCGAACGGCTCGGCTAGGAAATCAGTTCGGATCGATCCCGGCGTGATATTTCAGCTGGAAGACAAGTTTCGCTGGCCCCTCGAAGGCGTTCGCATTTATTACGAGCTTTATTCCGGCGAGCTTCCCGGCGATCGGCTATATAACCGACGCAAACACAGCCCGGCCCCCGCCTCGCTTTCATTCACGGCCCGGAAATCAATTATTCATGCAGGATTCCCTTCTCCGTATTCTCGACGGCCGTTTCTTCTTCCACGGTCGCGTTTCTCTACGACTCGATTGGATTCGAATCGTCGGGAAGCTGCGCGAGAAAAAAAAATCGAAATACCTCGGAAGAGAAACGGCGAGCGGGGCGGCAGCAACGGCAGGCGGAGCAGCGAGGGGAGTCGGCAATTAATATTCGATGAAAGGCTGCCACCGAGCGCTTTCCTCGCGCGATTCCTCGAATCCCGATTTACGACTGCCGTGATGTTTTCTTTGGGAAAGTATCCTTTCATCGTAATTCACATTAACGAGAGAAAATTGGCAGCGCGAGTGCTCTGAATGTAAAGATGAAAGTGATACTTGAGAAACTGTTCGGCTGAAGAGGTCCGCCTCCGACTACGCTGACGTTTGGTGTCACGGGATAATCACTGTTTCTTGAGAGTTCTTTCGATTGCCGTCACGTTCTCGGGAATCACGAACCAACTAACCAGTTATTTCCTTCGCAAACGTGGAAAGACGTATTTTCACAATACTCGAATCGTTATCTCTATCTACTTTAGTCAACATTCCACAGTAACAATCATACGATCCGAACTACGCTCCAGGCGGTGTTTGCCCTAGCAGTTTACGTTTAAATGTTTGAATATGTTAGTTAGGACAGTCGAGCAAAGGAGGGCGGGCCGGATCCAATCGGCATTCGCAATTCGGGCGCAGGATAAACGTCGCTGTAGCCCCGGGAACGTTTTCCCTGAATTGCAACGGGGGTGAAGAACGTCGGCCGCTGGAACATTCTTAGTATTCATTAGCGACACGAGGGTTTCTCCGAGGGACTGGGGCCCGCTTTGTTCGCTCGGAGGGTTTCGGACACATAAGAGCGGCGTTTGTACGTTGGAATAACGGATGACTCTGCCTTGGTAATCCGTTCGGGCTCGTCCCCGCCAGTCGATGACAAGGCAATGCCAGTAAGACCCGAGCCGAGGGATACGGAGAGGCGAGAAGAGGGCCGAGCTCTCACGGGTCATTGGTTCTCGCGAGAGCGCTGGCTAACGTGCGGATTATTGTTGCGCACGTGTCGTTTCACGAGCAAACTGCCTGCTAACGAACTGCTCGGCTCGGTTGAAAAACCGAGCTTTCTCGCACCCGGTGCAGCGAAAGCTTTCGCGATATTTATTCACCCGCCGCCATTCCGGCTCGATTCTACTGTGCTACGTTCGTTGCTGATTAAAATTAAAACCGTTTGCCACTTCGGGTCTTATTAAACGTGAAAAATTGTATCGTTGTTTTTACACTTTTCAAAGGAAAATAGAGACAGAAGGAATTTTATCGAACGTTGTTTGCATTTTTGAAGCTGATCATTTTGACGTTATACCGTTTCGTTTGCAAATTTCGCTTCATAACCGAGGCTAACGTTGTTAATGGTGATAATAAGTTTTTCTTTTGTCGAGAGATAAATGGATACCACCTGTGCCAGTGAAAACTATATAGAATTATAGTTCATGAGATGAATTGATTGTTCGGCTCGAAAAATTCTACTCGTAACAAGTTTCGCAGCTGCGCTGAGATCGTTTCGTCCTAGAGAAATTGAAGATTGCGGATGTTCCTGTGAACACGTACGTTTATAGATCAATTTATGGAACAAGAATTGAATGGATACTCGATTTTATTGAGTTCCATTACGCTGAAGATACATTAAAAGCACCCTTAAACCATAATCATGTTTTCTGCTTTATCGCAGTTTGCACGCTCGCATGTAAGTACTATGAAGGCATAAAGATTGCAATTCGCTAATAAACTTCGACTAATGGACGCCATAGTGTTTCCTTGAATCAATTACTGATACCGTTACTAACCCAGTTGCAAAAGTTATCGCATTTGCTATAGTTACATGATTTCCGTAACTAGTTCTTAACCTTCGAATGCATTTCAAAATCTCCGCAAATGGGTGAACAGATCGAATGGTGTCTTGCTTTCTGCACATTGAAAATTCTACGCGGAATTACTTTCACGAATACCCGAAATAGATACCTCTGTTGTTT